TAACTTATATATATATATATATATATATATATATATATATATATATATATATATATGTGTGTGTGTGTGTGTGTGTGTGTGTGTGTGTGTGTGTGCGCGCGCGTTTTAATTATTTATATATGTGTGTATGTAATTTTTTAATTACTTATATATGTGTGTATGTATTTGGTTTAATTACTTTTATATGTGTGTATGTGTTTTTTTCAATTATTTTAGTCGGTCGGTAACTTATTTTAAAATAAAATGTAATTTGTTTAACTGAAATATATATATATATATATATATATATATATATATATATATATATATATATATATTACTATTTAAGTTTTAGCAACAACAATATATGAGTATAACATATATTAATATAACATATGTTAATATAGCATTAATATCTATACATATGATATTGTTGCTACAACTTAAATATTAATATAGCACTACAATATATGAATATAACATATATTAATATAACATATGTTAATATAGCATTAATATGTATATATATGTTGTTATTGCTACAGTTTAAATATTAATATAGCACTACATCTTATTTTTCGATCGATTTCGATCGGTTCTTTTTCCGATCGATTTAGGTCGATATTCTGTGGACGGATTTTGTCACTTTTCTAGTAGTGAGTCCACCTTTGCATGAGACTTGTATGAGAGTTGCAATGATGACTTGAGCACACTCTCTATGCGCATGGGTTAGTGATGGTACTCAAAAGCAACGGTTAAGGTAGCTAGATCTAGTACCCACTAGATAAGCACTAAAATCAAAGGTACACCACCTTTGATTTTTTACACGGTCAGAACTAAGATTTGAAGCTTATAAATTTAAATTTTCAATATTTTTTAAATTATTAATTTTAAATTAATAAATTTTACATATATTCAAGATTTTTTTTTAAATAAATACTAAATTTGGACCAAAATTACTAAGTACGGTCGAAGCGGTATCCGGGCACACAGTAGCTTCGCCCTAACTCGCTCCTTGCTTCACTTGTTCATAAACTGTGTACTAAAGCCGCCAGACAAAGTTGATAAATGATAACCCGAAATTCCAAGATTGAAGTTTCAAAAAGAAATGGAGCAGCGGCGTACGCATAATTTTTTGTAAGTGGTGTCACAATTTTAAGTAGTGAACGACTAACAATTCACTTTAACAATATCGTATTTAAAAAAAAACACCGTTCAACTTCTTCTAATAATAAACCACAACTCAGGTATATTACTACAACTCTTATCGATGAGTTTTTATTTTAGAAATGTATCAAAATAATATCATTAGGAATAATATTAAATACTTTTTTATATAAAGAACCAAAAAAACACACAAAAAATTTATCATTTATTTGATTCCACAAATCGTTTTTAATCAATTTCATGCCGAGAGAGAAGATGAAAGGAGAAACAGAAAAGATTAAGAAAACTTGGAATATCAGCCAAATAATTTATTAACGCTAAATTTGACTCTTGACAAATCAGATCAATACTCTCTAATTACATTAATAGGTTAGTCGTTCAAACTACACCGTACACAATTTTTATTTAGTAGACGATGCAATTAAAAAATTATAACAGAAAACGAGGCTGCCTAGTTTCGAACGCATGACATCTCGTGAACATGTGTAGCACTTGACCAAATGTGCTACACGTCTGACGTGTCAAGTGGTGTCACATTTACTCTATTTAACCTATTTTTGTTTCTGTATTTTAATTATATGTATATGTTAAGTAAATTTTTCCGGCGAAGCGGTGCCACGTGATACCGCTTCGCCTTACGTAGATCCGCCCCTGAAATGGAGTACTACCTTTTAATTTAGATGAAAGTTCTGATTTTGCTATTTGCTTATATATAGACATTTGGTGGAAGTGTGGATAGTTCTATTCCAGACGTTTTGAAGAACCTGTAACTTTAATGCTACGTACATTTTGGTTAGGATAATTGATGATAGGCATAATTACATATTTTAGTCGCTTATTACACTCTAATTACTGCACTTTAATTGAGTTTGAGCTTTAATCGCTAGTGTCTTGCGCTAACTGTGTTTTATGCCTTGTAGGAGTGATTTCGAGCTATGTAGATGTTATGGAATGAACTCAAGTGATTTAGAGCTTTGAAGTCTGAGTAAAAGCTGAAGGAATTAAGCCGGGATCGTGTTTGGGGGTCAACGGATGATAGTTAGAGCGAACGAAGAATCGAGTAGGCATATCGCTCACTGTCTAGTAAAATAGATATAACTTTTCTTTCACAACTCCATTTGGTCTCCACAATATATGGTTGGAAAGCTAACTCAAAGGGCTACAACTTTCATGTTTTACATTTTTCCAAAATTCCAAATGATACAGGGTCAAAAATGCGATTGAAACTGCGACTGCGGACCTAATGCGGCAGAACACTGCTGCAGATTCTGAAGGCTACTCTGGCCGCGGTCCTAGCGTAACTGCAGTAGGACCGCGGCAGGACGCATAAACTTCAGGGACCAAAGTGCAAAACACGAGATTTTAAGCCCTAAACCCTATATTAAACGAGGGAAGCCGGCCAAGAAAGGGGAGAATGATTTTTGGAAGTGAAAAACATCAGAAGGAAGGGCAAGAGGCAAGGAGAATCATTGGGCATCAATCTTTAATCTTCTTCTTTGTTCTTTTACCTTTGAATATGAATTCTTTTGTAATTTTTGTTATTTTCATGAGTAGCTAACTTTTCTAATCTAAGGTTTTGGTGAAACCCGTTGGGGATAAATTGGTTGTTATAAGTAATATAGATTTGAATTAGTTTAATCTCTATTTGTTTAACTATGTTTTGATTGTGGTTAATTGAAAAGATCCTCAATTAGCCGTTCCTATTTATTATGTATCTGCTTGAGAGAGAGTGCATATTTAGGTAGTTGTTTGAACAACATCACTCCCGGAGTATAGGCGAGAGTCATAACCGAGGGTTTAGAGGTTGGATTAGAGATAACGATACCTCGGGTGCGATCTAAGTGAACTGTAATGCGAATCTAGCTAGCGTAGCTTGAGAGAGTGCGTCTAGTAAATTATCATAATTGCTTGAGAGAGATTTATGATAGCTGGAGAGTTCATGATTAATAGAGGCAACTAAGTCAACGCTATAAGAAACATACAACCAAGGAAATCAACAACGGGGAAAACCATTACCTTAGACCTTTATTCTAATTGTTTACAATTCAAGCATAGTTAGTTTTCAGCTGTTTATTTATTTTTAATCTTGTCTTCTTGGTGATACTAAACAGATACAGCTAAGTCTTAGTTCTCTGTGGGATTCGACTCCGGACTTTTAGACCGGATTATATTTGCAACGACCGCTTATCCTTTTTAGGACTAGAGTTGGGCGTGATCAAATTTTGGCGCCGTTGCCGGGGAACTAACGGTATAGTTGTAGCAGTATATATTGCTAGGGTTCAAGTTTGAACTTTTAGTTTGTTTTATTTTTTTTGTATTTTTTTTATAACTGTTGATTTGAGACACATGGCATCTTGGAATTTTGGGAATTTAGGTGTAGATAATTCTACTATTGATCTCCATACATATTGTGAAGGAAACCACCCGTGGTAAAATTTTCAAAACGTTCCTAAGAGCGAGTTATGTGCACCAACTCAATCTTATTTGTGGAATGTGTGTGATGTGTATGGTGGTAAAAATGGTCACCTTCATGGTTGTGCTTATATTTCTTATTTTCCCCCAACCCCTTACTATGATGGTTCTACCTTTTCTTGTGAAGTTAATAGGAACAAAGAACCTGGGAATGCGGACCTGAGGAGATCAAGGATATGCTAAAGTGCCTTCTGAAACAAAACAATGAGAAACAATTGCACATAGAAAGGCAAGAGGCAACTATTCGCAAGTTGGAGGCTCAATTGAGTCAAGTGGTTGGAGCTTTTAATTACTACAACAATTATGGTCTAACGCCACACTAGTTTTAGACAACGCCTGAAAAGTGTTCCCAAAAATATATTTGGGCACACTTTTAAGGGGTGGCCTTTGTATGGAGCTTTTGGATACGAAAAATTTGGCTACGCTTATTAAATGTGCTCTTTAATTTATTAGGCCACCTTAATTAAACGTTTCTAAATCATAAAATAATTGGCAAAATTTATTTGAGTATGTGGCACTCTTTTTAAGCATGCTTTTAATATAATTGGAAAAGCAACACTTTATAAATATGCTCTAAAAGTCCAACAAAATATTTGTCTAAAGTATAATATTCCCTCCAAAAAATATAATGTTCCCTCCAATATACTCTAGGTCTAGGTGAAATATTAATTTTTCAATTTCAGAAGGACAAAAAGATCTCTCCTCGCTAAAATTGTTGTTGATACATTAGTTAGGGTTTCTGGCTTCTAGTGTGGAGACTGACGAATCGGGAATTTCTGCACCGGCCGGGAACTTACTCTTAATTTCTGCAGGGGGAAGATTAATTAGGTACTATTAATTTCGCACCATCTCACCCTACTTTGGGTAGTGTTTTTGTTTTCAAACTATTGTCTCAAAGGAAGAATTCTCATTTCCCCTTTCTCTTAGGTACTGTTTTTCACCTTCTAGCCCTCCTCGTTCCAAATTGAAGAAATTTATAAAGCTAGAGAAACGGGTAATTCTTCCAATCTCAAGTTGGTGCTCTTCTATTTCAATATTTTACCATCTTATGGTCTCTGATTGCTGTAGTTTCATATCTAATTTGATCATTATTCCAGAAAAGAATGAACTATAAATTAATTATTCCTCTTCTAGTCTCCAAGATTAGTGATTTATTTTAAAATCCTAGCAGATTTGTGAGCCTAATTCTACAAATCGGCTTTGTTATCTTTTGATTGTCCTATTCCTGTTGATTAATCTGACGTACAGTACGTCTTAGGCTGATTTGTTCTTTTACCATGTCAGTCGCGCCTCAGAATACCAGAAGTGTCTGGTACATCATTCATTCTTTTGAATATTTGAGATTTCTTAGTGGTATATTGGGGTGGGGGTGGGGTGGGGTGGGGGAGGAGCGGAGGAAGATGTAGGGGTTTTGCTCGTCATTTGCTCCAGTCATTTGCTCGTCAACAGTAACAAGAGCAAAATCTGTTTTTGATTGAGCATCTGCATTCTTTGTGACCTGCTGTTGCTTTTCACTACCTTAAGAGTTCGACAGCCTAGTTGCTGAAGCTAAATCTTGATCAACTTGCTGTATGTTCTTCTCACCATCATCATTCACATTGCTAGAGAGACAAATTGCTCTCAGTAGGAGCAAATTAAAGAAATAGTTTTAGCAGTTGATCACCTATGTTCATTTGACATATTTTTGTCTTTGTACATTTAAAGAATCTAATTCTTTTTTAGCCAAGTCTTCCCCGGACAGATATTTAATAGTATTTGATTTTGATCGATCAACAGTCAACTAAATACTAATCCTCAATTAGTTGGGATTGGCTATATGAATCCTATGTATTCATTCTGTCGTCGGACCTACTTCCCTCCAGTACTAGAATACTAGTCCCAGTTCTATACTTTTAATATTTCATTGTGTTTTTGTTGCTAACGATCCTCTTTGTAGATGATAATATCTGTTGAGAATGGGATGAGTTGACATGAGGTAGATAGCTGTACAGTTAGTTGGATAACAAATTATTCTTAGCTGAATTAGTGGAGTCATTAGCAGTCACTCAGTTGTAGCTTAGAGTAAGCATCAAAATGATTTGAACTTTTTCGCGCACCTGGACTGTCTCTTGCAATCTGCAGCAGTTTTTTGCTATTTGGAGTGCCTTTTTTGCTGGAAACTGTTGTCCAGTTATCCTTAATAATATGCTGCCCAGCTTCCTTTGTAACTTGTCCAGCATTAGTAGTTTTTGAAGCAATTTCAGCTGGAACTAAGGCAGCAGTAGATACATCTACATCAGTTGTACCTATAGAAACAGTTACACCAGTTGTGTCCACAACATTAGCTGCCTTTAAAATTAAACTCCCATCCTTTGAATCTGATGCTCCAACTTGTTGTTTAACACCAATTGCAGCATTAGGATTGGCAATCCCAACAGAATGTCTATCGACAGTTTCCCCCAGCTTAGAACCAACAGTAGCTGTTTCTTGTCCAGCATCAACTGCTACTGTTGCATGCTTAGCACTGGTTGCTCCATCAGTTCCAACCCTTGATGCATCAGTTGCATCCTTTGTATCTCTAGGAGTTTTAGATGGTCCTTCACCCTTAGTTCTCTCAATTAGCTGCACCTCAAGATCATTCTGCCCAAAACCTGCTACATCCTCTTCCCCTAACGTAACAGTAAGACTAGTTCCCATAACATCAGGACTTTTCAAGGCTTCATGTAAATTTGTTCGAACTCCTATAGAATCTACATTATCAAGTCGATTTTGCCCAGCCTACAGTTTTTGGTTAGCAGTAAACTGCCCAGCAACATCTACTATAGCCATAACATCACTTGGCTTGTCATTAGTAACCACATCTCCTGCTACTGTCCCTTTATCACTGCCATTCCCTCAACTATTCAACACCCTATTTCCTGCTTTCATAGCCATATCTTGAGACACCCTAGCTAAAGCACGATCGACAGGAACAATAGCAACATTCTTTGATATCACAGAGTTGTTTAAAATCTGCTGCTGCCCATTATTTTTGGTACCCTCTGAATTTAAAACCATTGTTTCGCCAGCTCTTTTTGCATTAAGGTATTCCCTAGCATCGCCTTGTAGTTTTTCCATAACTGAACCATATGCCTCGACTAAACCACGATCACCTTGAGACGCTGCCCCTGTTTTTTCCTCTACCACCACATCCGTTCCAGCTTGTTCTTTCATAATTCGACACACCTTTTCGTCATGTCCCTGATGCTTGCAATAAGTGCAATATTTAGTAAGATTGTCATACACCACCTCCTGATATATCCAGTTGATCTAGATAAAAACTGAACATAATCATTGAAGAGATCAAACCTGATCAAAAGATGACGAAACTCCAGCACTCCAATGTTGCAGCGACCTTGAACATCGAATTGCGACGAAAATATTTTTCTGAATTCCTGTAACTCAGGTTTTCCATATGAGAATTTCATTACAACTGCTTCATGCAGTCCTTCTTCTTTTATAAACTCGTTAACCTCATCCATGGTGAACTCTACAGTTGGCTCTCCATGATCAAAAGTTACTGGGCATAATTCAAACTTTGCGGCAGAATTTATTTGCAACAGTTATGATGCGTAGGACTGTTTTGTATTATGATTAGGGGCTGTTTGTTGATTGTTTTGGTTTGCCTCTGCATGGTAAAATAATTATTTTTTGAGTACAATAGTTCATATATCTTAGTTATTTATGGTTGCAAATTGTTCTGTCAAAATGTAATGTGGTAAATTGTTCTATCAAAGTTTCCTTTTAGTAATTTTAAAATATGACTAGTTCTGGAGTTTATTCTTTTGAGTTGAAGAAATGAGAAATAGCTAGTTATATTTTTATATCTTAACTTCTTTTAATTATATAATATTTGTACGAACAAAACACATTTTAGGTGTCACTATACTTGCCAAGGTGCACATGAAGCTTTTTGGTGCGAAGAACTATTATATTATCTTCATGAAAACGTGGTTTAGAATTTTATTACTTTCTGTCTTTGTTTTGTAGATCCTAATTTTACCCTTTTTTTATCCAAGAAGACAAGTCACGCTCGGGAAGATTTGTGGTGGACTTAAAGTTGTATTTGGCTTAGCTTAAGTGTCATGTCTAGGTAAGAAAGTCCTATCATTTTACAACACATGATTTTACAGATTTATTCTTGACATTTAGGATTTAGTTTTACCATATAATTAATGCTTAAATGATTATATATTTGAAGATCTAATAAATTTTATTTTTAGGAATTCAAATGTTCCATCCAAGGAATGGATGGATTTACCAAGGTATGCCAAAGAGTATATCGAGGGTGTTCAATCTTTCTTAGATTTTGCTTACTCTTATGGAGATCCTCAAGGCGAAGAAATTCAATGTCCCATTGTGCAAGTGTTTGTAATATTGTTGAACTCGAAGGAATGTAGTGTATGACCATCTAATAATGTTATGGTTGTTCAAGGTTAAAACAAGATGGAATTATCATGGGGAATGGGGAAATTTCGATGAATTGCTAATTGTGAACATGGATGAAATGTTTTACTCGTACGATGATATGATGGGTTTGTTGAATGATCAATGTTAGAAAATGTTTCACATGCTGGAGAGTGTATGAAGCACAAATGAAGATGCCAATACAATTCTAATAACTTAGTTGTATAGAGGCAAGCCAAGTAACTATAATCCTGGTTGTGAAAGGATCTTCTAGATTATCTTTTACAATACCGTCTGTATTTGTTGAAGTGTCTACATGGATTGGAGCAATGCGTCTTTTCACTTCTCTTTTAGAGCTATTAAAAGAGGCGTGCCCTGACTTGAACATTCCTATATTTCCTACATTAAAGCCAAACTAATGGTAAAGGGATCTCGGTTCTCATTAATGAAAAAATTGATGCATTGTCCCCATGATTGCATGCTATTTAGGATGACCATAAGGATGATGAATATTAATTCAATAATTGTGGATCATCCGATATATTAAATATCACTGAAAGAGATCAGCGATCTGTGAGGCTTAAAGTTAATCCCGTGTTCAGCAAAATTTTGAGCCACTTTCCATTAATTCCTAGACTTAAAAGGCTAATTTATGTGCTCAAAGACATCAAGATACATTGGAGTGGCATGACGAGGAGCGTTCTAAAGATGGAAATAAGGCATCTGCTGATTGGCAAGCATGAAAGACTTGATACGCTTTTGGCATCAGAGATTTCAAGAGATATCTCGGCAATGTTGAAGACTTGGCTTACGCAAACCGTGATGGGTTCAATCCTTCGGACCATGCAGCAATATCTCATAGGCACATGCCAAGTTATTTTAATGGTGTATAATTTACCTCTTGGATGGCATGAAGCCAAGAGTACTGTAATGCTTTCTTTCTTATACCTGGGCCACGATCACCTGGAAATCGACATGACGTTATTTACAACCATTAATAGAAGAGTTAAATATTTTGTGGGAGTCCGGGGGTATGAAACCATGATGCTTCAAGAGATCAAACCTTCAAAATCCGCGAGCAAGTCTTTTTATGGACAATCAGTGACTTTCCTGTATATCTATGTTTATCCGGTTGGAGTACAGGGAAAGTTGGCTGTTGCCCTTGTTGTAATTAATGGGCACTAATTCTCGTTAGTCTTAAACATAGTCGAAAAAAATGTTATATGGATCCATCGTTGTTTTTCTGCCTATGATATCATCCCTTGGAGAATCTAATAAAAGGTCTTTTAATGAAAACTAGAATTTTAGGCCCTCCTCCGCGCCTTTTGTTAAAGGAAACTGATGTGCTTAATAACTTACAGATTTAAACAATTGTTTGGGAAGAAGCGAAGAGAACAAATGCGGATAGGCCCTTGGAAAAAAAAGGTCAATTTTTTTTGGGCAATTACCTATTGGCAGTACGATATCGTTACGTCATAACCTTGACGTAATGCATAATAAAGAAAAATATTTAGTGGATAAATGTAATGGAACTATTTTGGACATTCACTGGCAAGACATAAGGATCATGCAAATCGCTCGTTATTGAATCTGAAAAAGATGGTCAATTAGAGAAGAACCGTCAACCAAGGGATACCAAAGGATGGCAAGCAAAACAAATTTTGTAAAAGCAGGCTTCAGTCAATGACCAATGGTGGAGAAATCAATTTCTGCTGGTGTTTTAAAGACCACAAAGCTGACCTGATGGTAGTGCTTGCAACATATTCGGTGTGTGGCAGCTAGATGAAGGAAACATTATCCCGGTTATAAAACTCATGATGCACACTTGCAATGTTACATTACTTGTTGCCAATACCCAGTTAAAAGGCATATCTTCCTTGACCAGTTGCTTATCCCTTTGGATTCGTCTAAGTTCTTGTCTTTTGTCCGGTTTATTTGTCAAAAGTTTATCACAATGGGAAGAGTAGATTGCCTGGGAAGTAAGAGATTAGAGAAACAATGGAATCAATTGGAAAGAATGTTATTCTGCTCCAGACTTTTTTTGAATAAGGATTCATTTGCCTATTCATGTGTTGGAAAATGAGGAAGGTTGGGAGGTCCAGTTCAAAATCGATGGAATGTATCCTCTGCAAAGTATAAATGTGTACATTTAAATCATATGTTCGCAACAGACAATTATCCAGAAGATCTATTGCGAGCAATATTTGTTGAAGAGGTTTGACTTTATGCTCTAGGTACTTGACATGTGAGGTGGTAAAGAACGTGAATTAATCGACGACCCCGAAACAATGATGAATATGATTCAATTAAAATGCACAATCTTCTAGTTTGTTCCCTAATAACAGTTGTCCTTTCTAGAGCAAAAAAGAGTGATCCAATTGTTTTAGATGACATGTCACTAAATTAGGCACATATATACTTATTGAAACCATTGTAAATGAAGTTCAAGAATTATATAAGGTAAATCTTAATCACTTATAGCATTTAATTTATTGTGATGTTTTAAATTACTTTATTGTATCATTTACATAAACAAAATAAAAATACTTGTTGTGTAGAAGAAATATGAAGGTCGAGGTTAGTAATCAGAGACGAGGATCTAAATGGAGCAAGGCCAAGAAGTATAGTCAAAACGTTCTCTCAATGGTCTGAAAACTCGTTCTTTGAAAAAGAGATTGCCCGATCTTATAAAGCAATATCCTTCGGACCAAATTCAATTTGCTAAAAGATATTTTCTGGTATCGTCATTAATGGATATAGATTCCATGGCGAGAGCAGCGTGAAATGTAAGACGTAAAACACAACAAAATAGTGGTGTTACATTAGGTCGCTCAAACTACAAGTTTTTTAAGCATCAAAAGATAAAAAATCCAGTCTGAAACGCAAATTTGACACTTCATTATAGGTAGAATAGTTTGATATAGTTGAGTTAGACCTATTATGGACAAAATTTTAAGGATTGGTCTTATTTAAGTGGTGACTGGCTAATGAGTTGAAGAAGATATTTATGGGCCTTACTTTATGGTCATGTTCAACAAGACAATGTTATCTAAACGAACTTTTGTCCAGCATCTCAGTACACAATGCTTCTACATGTGCAAGATCCATATGATCAAGATTAGATGATTATGTCATGAAGACTGTCCCGAGAGGACTAGTGTTTAGAATATGATGACTTTGAAGCTAATGCCCCACAATGTTATGAATGAGCATCGAGATCTTGGCTGGCCATCGAGTACGCGAGGAATAATGGTGAAGTTGCCTTAGTTAAGGAGTGATGTTCCGAGCAACCATTCTTGATGTGACCCTCCTGACAGGATTTCTAGCACATCCAACTTGAAAATTTGGAATCGGATGAAGAGTTTGATTTTGAAGAACACAATCATGAGGTTTCTTTCTTAATTCAGAAAAGAAATATTCTTAGCCAATTTTTTTTTATTAATAGCTAGACACTCAGACACAATAAAGACCAGTTTGCTTTAGTTTTTAAATTGATGTTGTTATATTTCCATCAAGTTTCAAATATTGAATATTTCCTTGCGTTATCGATATTCTTGATGTGCACATATATTTTATTGCTCATTGTATTTTTAATTGTGTCGCCTTTTTGGCTAATCCAGCTAGAAATTACTTGATTGGCTTATTTAATGTGGACCCTTCTAAGGAACCGCTATGTCATCTATATGCTGGAATTCGAGAATTTGTCCTTCTAGTTTGAAATAGAGAAGTAACGTGGTAGAATTAAGTAGAAATTATGCTTTAGAATTTGTAGTGTCCTATTACTGGAGTATTGGAGCAATTTTAACACAGTATAATAATAATTTGGTTTTTTAATTATCAGGGTGGGCACACGCACTAAAGAAGACTATTGGACTAACAAATTTTAAGGAACTCAAGTGATATTTGAATCAGGTATCATGTAACTTTGTTTCATTTCATATATCTCTTGAATTGTTTATTTCTTCCCCGATTTCTCGGCAGCTTCCATAAACTTTGAGCTTTAATCTCGGGTTTACCCATTCTGACATTTTCTACTGAAACTTTGGTTAAATATCTTCTGCCAATTGTGAATAAAGTTAGTTTGTCCAATATTTTGATTTCCACCACAGCAACACATTGAAACAATGAGTCTCTTTTGAGGCCTAATATGACTTACTGTGTGGTCTGGCAGAGGGGTACAGAATGACGTTGTGCAAGCCCCCCAACCTCGACCCCCCACCCCCCTCCGGTTAGCTGTTGCTATGATAACGTATATGCGCCGAACATTTACCTTCATTGCTGAAGGAATATCGTATGAAAAAAAACAAAAATATTAGTGAACTATGAAGCTCATATGTGGCTTCAGAAGGAAGTAGTAACATGTAGGACGTACATTCCCCATGCCTCAGTGTGCATATTCTGTCCAGTTCCCATATTTATTGTACGAAATAATCATTGTAGTCTATTGTGAACACCAGCTTGTAATTCTAAAGTAGGAAAAAAGGAAACAAAACATAAGACTGTTCTGCAGCATCGTGAACATGGCTTCAGTTCAGTATAGGTTTCTTGTTAAGTCCCAGGTTATGCTATGCGAGTGACAGAATGGCTACAATTCCATCCCCCATATTCCTGTAAATTGTTTGGAAACGTATCAGTACACAAAAGCGATCGCTTTCCCTTAAAAAGCGAGAAGCGAGGATAGCCGAGCAAAGTGACAGAAGCGAGCGCTTCTCTTTATAGCTGGGCTGCCAACGTTTAATTAATTAAAAAAAGCTCTCTTTTTAACATCAAGATCAATCAAGTTTTGTCCCAGTATGTGATTTCTTCCTTCCTTCCCCCTTTGTGACGACTCCGACCCGTCGTCTCCATGTATTACAGCCTCCGTTTCCCCCATTATTGCTTTCTTCATATGTTCATTTATCAGCAACGAGTGAGTTTATAGTTGAATTGAAATTTGGTTATGGATAGGAAATAGACACTTAGTTCTTTAAGAAGGCTTAATTGGAAAGTCAACTCGGACATTGACCTTATGAGTAGAAGGCTCGATGATTTCCGGTTGATATCGGTTAGCTTCGGGGGATAGATTGTGACTTGCGGAAGTGCGGTATCGAAATTTGATTTTGGAGGGCCCGTGTAGCATTTAGGCTTGAATTTGGCGAGGTTAGTATTTTGCCGATTCCGTGGTTATGGTGAGATTTGATCGGGGGTCGGAATGGAAATCGATATTACTGTAGCCTTCGTTAGGTGAATTTTGGATATGTGTGCAAATTTCAGGTCATTGGAGGTGTTTTGGTCGGGTTTTTTGGACTCGAATGCGCTAATTCGGATAGTTTTAAGAAAACTTAGGCTTGAAATTCGATGTATTTTGATGGCTTTAGCGATATCTCCTCTCT